TAGCAGGCTGGAGTTGAGTGGGTCAGCAAAGCATCCGCATGGACAGTTTAACGTCTGATGGTCAGCAGTAGGGCTGCAACTAACGATTATTTCAATAATCGATTCATCGGCTGATTATTTTTTCGATTAATCGATGAATAGGCAAAAAAACCCAACGTTTTAATTTCCACCTCTTTATTCCAAAATTGAACATTTGACTGACTTGGCAATTCACACAAAAAACAGGTTGCTATTTGACTATTCTGTTGGTAAAATATTGAATAATAATAAATAAAAGTTAGTCAAATAGCTTAAAAAAATAAATGTGCACAAAAATATATACAAATGTGTCTTTATACCTGCACAATATTTAGCTACTTTGTAAAATGTGTCATTGAGAGAAGAGTGTAACCTGGATTAAAAGTGTGGATCATTGTAACCTGGATTAAAAGTGTGGATTATTGTAACCTGGATTAAAAGTGTGGATCATTGTAGTGAATCCTTCGTCTTCAACCATGGACAGAGGCCTCATGTCAGTGACGATCATGTTCAGGATGTTTCAGTGAAGACAGCTGCTGCTGTGGTGTCCATGATGTCTGTCCATCATGAAGGATGTTGTTGTTTGTTGTTGTTTTCTGGAATGAGAGAGTAAATATGTTTTATAGTATAATTTACAGCAACTCAAGAAACGCCTTGTTTCACTTACAGCGTTAGGTTCAGGCAAAAGTAGCTAAAAGAGCAATTAAACACACACACACACACACACACACATATATAAAATACTTAATTACACACATTTGAGTAGATGTAATAAATGACTTTAATTCCTGTTTAAATGCAATTCATCCTGCCATACCTGCAGTGTCTTCAGACTTTTCCAGCAAATTAAAAGTTGAAGCTTAATCATTAAATGATTATCTTTGTGTTAGATTTATTAATAAATCACATTTAAACTCTGCTTGTTCCAATGAAATAAAATAAAAAGTAACACACACGTTCTCTATCACCGTCATGAATCAGATAAACAAACAAACAAACAAACAGCTTCATCTTCAGACAGACTGACGTTACGTTTTCTCTCTTGAAACAGAACAATGTGTTAAATTGTAGAGACTCACCTGCAACACATGAAGAGTTGGATCAGCTGCAGCTCCTTCCTCCTCCTTGTGACTCCGACATGTTTACATTTCATCTCTGTGGTTCTCACGTGTCGTGTCGGTGATTTTCAAAGCTGCATGTTTCTCAGTTTTTATCTTTGTGAAGAGCTCCCACTCTTTGGAGGACTTGGGTCGAACAGTTTTCTCTGCGTTGGTCATTTGTAAAATTTACTTATTTTCCTTTGAAAACAGACTCTGCTCTGTTCAACTCGCGCTGCAGTTTTTTTTTTTTTTTTCAAACTTTTTTTTTCAGTCAGCATTGACAATGAACTGCCCGAGAACAAAACGAAACGGCTCCGCAGCGCCGTGACAGACGCTTAATCGCGCGACACAACGAATCGATAACGAAATTCGTAGCCAACGCTTTTAATCATCGATTTTTATCGATTTTATCAATTCGTTGTTGCAGCCCTAGTCAGCAGCAGATGACGAAGCAGCAGAGAGCTTGATGCTGGCTTTAATCCTTACAAGACGGCCGGCACGTCTTCCACGGCGCCTGGAGCGATGTTTTCGGGTGGGCAGAAACGCCACGCGCTTCAGGTAAACCGGCACATCAACAAGCAGAGGGGGTGAGGGTCCAGAGCCCCGATCAAAGTGGTCAAACAAGGCGGGGTTTGCAGTAGATAACTATATTTAAAAGTTGTTGGCGATCATAAACAAGCAGTGAGTTGATGTCACCAAAGAAAAATGACAAAAACAGAAAAAAAACGATCAAAACAGACAGAGGTGAACGGCAAGCCACCAGCACCGGCGCCATCTTCCCGGATGATGGATCAAGGATCCATGGACAAGGATCGAAGATACACCCTAAACATCCATCCATTATCTGCACCCGCTTCTTCCTTTATGGGTTGCAGGGGTTGCTGGTGCCCATGTCCAGCCGCCACTGTGTGAGGTGGGGGATGCCTGGACACGTCTCCAGTCCATCACAGAGACGCATAGAGACAAACAACAATTCACGCTCTCACCTAGGGACAATTTAGAGTTACCAATCAGCTTAACGTGCATGTTTTTGGTCTGTGGGAGGAAACCGGAGTACCTGGAGAAAACCAATGTATGCACAGAGAGAACATGCAAACTCCACCCAGAAAGGCCCCTGAACCAGCATTTGAACCGGGGCAACCTGCTCACTGAGAAGCAGCATCTCTACCAGTTGCACCACCATGCTATCCCACGCTAAACAATTATAACATGAAAAAGGTTTGTAAGCTCCATCATCCAGGTAGATGACAACAGAAAAGGTTAAATCATGTCATCTGGACCAGTTTCTTTAAGTGAGAAACGTTTCTTCCTCCATCCAGAGGACTTTGTCAGTCTGCGGCCTACCAACCAGATCTGTTCCATAGGTAGGCTTCATTGCTGTTTCAAGCCAGCCTCCTGTTGGAATCTCAGAAGTAGACTTTAAACATGTGCAACACACACCCATCCAAAACAGTCATCATGAACAGCAATCAAATGTTTTAGGCCAGATGGCCAACTTGATACACACAGAAACAGCCTGAGGACAACCAAGTCCAAAGTGGTTCAGAAAAAGGTAATGTAATATTAAACAGCAGCCTGAACATGAGGCTGTAGTGAGCAGATGGGTATGAATACAGCAGCTTAAAGGCAAGAAATCAGCAACATGGATAATCAGCAGCGCAGACAAAGTGACATATGGCATCACAGTGATTATCCTGGTTAGAGATTCACGAGTCTAACAGCCTCAGGGTAGAAGCTGTTCCTCAGTCTAGTGGTTCTACACTTAATGCTCCTCAACCTCCTTCCTGAGGGGAGCGGGGCAAAACGTGTGTGTTGGGTGAGTGTGGTCCTTCATGATGCAGGTGGACCTCTTCCTGCATCTGGAGTTGTAGATGTCTGTGATGGTGGGGAGACTGACTCCAACATCTTCTGTGCAGCCTTCACCACTCTCTGCAAAGCTTTTCTTTCTGCATCTGGGCAGCCTCCATGCCACACGTTGATGCTGGAGCACAGGATGCTCTCTTAAACACTCCGGGTATCGTGTCTGAATTGCATGTTCCCCACAGACAATGGTTGACCATTTTTTCCCAATGATTTTTCAAGAAATTCGCAAATGGTAAATGGACTGTATTTATATAGCTCCTTTCTATCTTATTTCAAGATACTCAAAGCGCTTTACACAACAATCTGTGCCTCATTGACCCATTCAGACAGCACTCTACTAGATCTCTACAAAGCTAATTGAACAAATCAATCATCAAACGGCGGATGGCACGGTGGATTGTATTCACTGACAATGCTTTCTGGAAGTATTCCTGAGCCCATTCTGTTATTTCCTTGACAGTGGCATTCCTCTTTGAGGTGCAGTGACGTTTAAGGGCCCGGAGATCACGAGCATCCAGTAGAGTTTTACGGTCTTGACCCTTACGCACAGCGATTGTTCCAGATTCTCTGAATCTTTTGATGATGTTATGCACGGTTGATGATGATAACTTAAAAGTCTTTGCTATTTTACGCTGGGTAACACCATTCTGGTATTGCTGCACTATCTTTCTGTGCAACAATGGTGGAATTGGTGATCCTCTTACCATCTTGGCTTCTGAGAGACACTGACACTCTGAGAAGCTCTTTTTATACCCAATCATGTTGTCAATTGACCTAATTAGTGTTAATTGGTCTTCCAGCTGCTCGTTATGTGGTCAATTTCCTTTTTCCAGCCACTTATTGCTACTTGTCCCAACTTTTTTGGGATTTGTTGACACTGTGAAATTTTGAATCAACATATATTTCCTTTAAAATGTTACATTTACTCAGATTAAACTTTTGATCTGTCATCTATGTTATATTATGAATAAAATATTGACTTTTGCCATCTCCACATCATTGCATTCAGTTTTTATTCACAATTTGTTTAGTGTCCCAACTTTTTTGGAATCTGGTTTGTACTTAAAATGTTTTTTAAAATCGTTTCCACCCTCCGTCCCAGACCTGTCCCAGCCCGCCACTGCCAGCCGGGGCTTGTGCTCCGGCCTCGTGCGATCCTGCTGGTCAGCAGCTCGTAGGTTCATGTGTGGTGACCGGCGGAGCTCGTAGCCAGGGAGAGGACACCCTGCTCGGCCTGAGGGGGCTCGGTGGAGAGGGTCAGGGGACCGGCAGAGCTCCATCCAGCTCGCTCTGAATTTTGTCGTCAGCCACCAAGCACAAAAAACGCCTGCACTTCCAGCACTAGACCACGGTGTTGTCATTGTTTTTAAAATCTTCAGAATACGTCCAGTCGCTCCTCCGAGTTCTAGTTATTGCAAATGTTGAATCAGGTTGTGAAAGTTTCTCAAACAGCCAGTGCCTCCGTGCCCTGACCAGTCAGTGAGCGACAGTGTTGTGACGTCACGTTTTAAGGCCAGCACGGTATGCCTGGAACCAGGGCAAAGTGGGTTCTGAAAAAGGCGCTGGTTCCATGAATCTTTACTAGTGGAAAAGCCTTAGAACTGTGCCGAACCGAGTCAAACCGTGCCGCACTGGCACTAGTGGAAAAGGACTATTAGTTCACTGTGTCTGGCAAACCCTGAAGAAGGGAGCAGCCGAAAGAAGAAGAAAAAGAACATTTTTGTACATTGGAACAGACGGCAAAATCCACCTTGGTCTCAGCTACATTTAAAACTATTTATCCTGTTGCACATAAACTGTTTCTTCAAACTGAGGTCATTTAAGAAGCTATCCACAACAGGTAGGATAATAATTACTGTATAACTCACAATGGCCCAACTACGGTACTCGTCTAAGATGCAAACAGAAAAAGTGAAGAACTTTCGGCGCACTCAGGTTTTATTGACACAAACAAAGATGATTGTAAATCTGGAGTACTGTTCCTTAAACAGCTTCAAATGTTTTTCTGTGGATGTGCAGAGTGGCCGCATTGGAGCTGATGAAGTCATCGACGATACAGAAGGGAAAGGAGCCGAGGAACTGGAGGAGAGGCTGAAGGAGAAAGAAGCAAAAACTCATGCTATCCTTCTGGAGATGGTGAGGCAAACATCTGCTCTCAGTCCTGTGCTGCAGACAGCAGAGCCAGTCTGAGACTGTTGGACCTTTCTCCAGGTGGGTGACCTCCCTGATGCAGACATGAAGCCTCCAGAAAACGTGCTGTTTGTGTGCAAACTCAACCCAGTGACTACAGACGAGGACCTGGAAATCATCTTTTCTCGCTTCGGGTCCATAAAAAGGTCTCATTAGCGTCTAATAACGCCTTGTTTCTCATTCTTTCTAGGAAACGAGATATTTTAACAGTTTGCTTCAAGTGTGTTGTGTTCCTGTTTATTAAATGAAGAGTAAATGATGTTTTGTTTTTGTCCACGTTCTTTATAGTTGTGAGATCATCAGAGACTGGAAAACTGGAGATTCTCTTTGTTACGCTTTTATTGAGTTTGAAAAGGTGAGCAACCGATCAGCCATAACATTATAACCCCACACTAAATATTCAGTAGGTCCCAGTTTTTGAATCAAATCAGCCCCAACTCATTTGGACATGGACTCCACTGGACCTCTGAAGGTCTGCTGTGGTGTCTGGCACTCAGCTGTCAGCAACAAACCCTTCAAGTCATGGAAGTAGTGAGGCGGGCATGCGAAGGCCCGTGATCTGTGGCTCAGGTAGGAGTCCAGATGTGGCACCAGTATAGTCTTGTTTAGTTTGCTGCACTCTTGAACTGTGCTGTGATGTGCAGACTCAGACGAATCTGTTGGCTTCACCATCACAACACAAACAAACCATCCCTTAAATAACTTGAAACTGGCTCAAGTTTATTGCCGTTCATCAAAATTAAGTCAGGTCCTCTGCACAGTTTCTTTTTGTTGAAACATTTTGTCTTTCATCCAAAAGACTTCATCAGTCTGAGGAGCCACAACAAACTCGGTCTTATAGAGACTGACTTTATATAAAATGAAACTACTGAGCATGAATCAGGATGTCTTGAACCACTTTAGCCGTGACTGCCTCAAACGAGTCAGCGGACTTCAGAAACCGTCTGAGCACCATCAAACTGATTGACCCACTATGTGGAGGTGCTGTTTATGAGACTGAGTTAGTTGTGGCTCCTCAGACTTTTGGGTGAAAGAAGAAACGTTTCAACAAAAAGAAACGTCCAGAGGACCTGACTGTTAGATGTTTCTACCTGGATTATTGAGCATGAATCAGGATATTTATTGCCTTTTCTTATCGTTAACTCCATGTTTATCCAGCAACACTTGGTCTTTGATTGTTGATTTGGTGCACATTTCATATGTAGTTAAATGAAAATTACAGACAAAAAGATGGTACTCTGTTCCAGCTGCAGCGATCTTTGATCTTCACAATCTGCTGCTCCAGCTGCCCCTGTTTGAACGAAGGTGTCTCCGCGCTGCAGTTTTCAGATCTTTCCGTGGATGTTCAGTGGGGTTCAAATGGAGGCTGTTTAAGAACAGTCCAGTGTTTTGTTCTCAGCCTTTCTTGAGTTTTCAAGCTGTGTTTTGGATCATGATCCTGTGCTGAGGCGGAGCTTTCTGACACGAGCAGTCACTTCCACACCAGGATGTCTTGTTAGTTGTGAGACTTCATTGTTCTCTGCACAGGTTTATGGTCCTTGTGCCAGATGCAGCAGAGCAGCCCCTAAACAAAGCCGGGCCCCCTCCATGTTTCACGTAGGCGTGTTCTTTGAAGGTTCAGTTTTTCCTCACGTGTTCAGTGTTGGTTCTTGTCAACATGCACTTTAAGAAATTCCCTTCTGTCTCTTTTGTTATTAGTGGAGCCTCCTGTGTCTTCTTCCATGGAGTTCATTATAATTATGTTCAATATTATTATCATGTGACAAATGATGTGATCAGAAAGAAATATACTTTGACCTTGAACTTTATCTTGAATGCTTTTAGACGGTTTCCTTGCCTCTTTTCTACCCTCCACACTATCTGTGTGATTGACTTGGGGTTGCATTTCCTCTTGCGTCCACGTCTTGGGAGGGTGGCTCCCATCAACCTTTTACTTTTGAAACATCTCGTCAGCTGTGGTCCCAGGAACATGAAGCTGCTTGGAGATGCTCTTCTTTAACATCCATCCATTATTTTTACCTGCTGCTTCCTTTCCAGGCCACGGGGGTCACTGGTGCCCATATCCAGCTATCATTGTGTGAGAGGTGGGGGACACCCTGGACAGGTCTCCAGTCCATCAGAGACGAGTAGAGACAAACAACCATTCTCTCTCTCACCTAGGGACACTTTAGAGTCACCAGTCAGTCTAACATGCATGTTTTTGGTCTGTGGGAGGAAACTGGAGTACCTGGAGAAAACCCACACATGCACGGAGAGAACATGCAAACTCCACCCAGAAAGGCCCCCGGACCGGGATTTGAACCAGGGACCTGCTCGCTGAGAGGCAGCAGCTCTACCAGTTGTGCCACCGTGCTGCTCTATCATAAATCATTTTAGAAAAAATAACACGGAAAAGCACTTGGGTCATAAACTTGTTTTTGTGGCATGTTGATGGAGTTATGGTGGAGTTCTTATCACAGAGAAGTGGAAGTCGTGTTAATATTGAAAGAACTTCTCTATCTACATGTGGTGCGTTGTTGGAATAAAACTTTAGAAGTTGGAAACTCTGATGTTGTAGAGTGTGACCTCATTTATGACCAATGTTTACAGCTGCTCTGAAGCTTCACTGTGGTAAAGTTTTCAGTTTAGACCAGTTTGAGATGATAAGGAGCACCATCTGCACCAAAGGTTCTCAGGGGAAACCCTCTAGACATTTTACTCAGGGGGGGCTCGGGACATTCTTGGAGACCAGCGTTTGAATCTTACCAACTTTAGTAGCCAGCAGAAGGTGCTGTGTGTAGATCAATCCAGCAGTACCAGTGGGTCATGTGACTTTACTTGAGTTTTAGATTAATCTCATCTGATATGAAGGAGCTGTAGTGGGTTTGGTCAACCTTTAAACATTATGCACAGTCTCATGCTCATATTGAGTTATGAAAGACTTTCAGCTACAGCCACACATCATTTGAACACAACCTCTGTCAAAGTGACAGAATTATATTCTCTGGTTTTTAATATCAGTTGGCTGATAGTTGACTCTTGTATTGACTTGAATCCAAAAGTGAATAATTTTTCGAAATGCATCAGATGATGATTTCTTTAAGTTTCAGGAGTCTTTCCGGCAGTTTTGTCAACATAGAGGGTTTGTGCCTCTTACACATAAAGCAATAGGACCTGAAAGATGGTGAACTATGCCTAGGCAGGTCTGGCAAAATACCGCCGCGGTCCTGATGTGCAAATCAGCTGTCCCACCTTCGTATTGGGGCGAAAGACTAATTAAACCATCTAATAGCTGCTTCCTTCCAAAGTTTCCATCAGGACCCTTGACGCTCGGAGCCTCGATGTTTTATCTGGTAAAGCGAATGGCCAACAACAACCTTTTCTCAAACTTTAAATGGGTAAGAAGCCCGGCTCATTGACTTGGAGCCGGGCGTGGAATTCGAGCCGGCAGGTGGGCCACTTGGTAAGTAGAACTGGCGCTGCGGGCTGAACGAATGCCGGGTTAAGGCGCCCGATGCCGACGCTCTTCAGACACCGCAAAAGGTGTCTTTTGGTATAGACAGCAGGACGGTGGCCATGGAAGTCAGAATCTGCTGAACATCAGAGTCAGACAGATTTATTTGTCATACACACCACATGTGATGCATATGGTGGAACGAGATTATGTACACAGAGTCCCAGTTACTAAGCCTGTTGCAATAAATTAATCAATTAATCGCCTGATAAATGAAAATTATGGACCTCATTTTCATTTATCATCTTTATCGTTTTTTCATGTCTCTCTCTTTCTACTGAAAACGCTGGATGACAAAAGGCTCAACTCCGGTGCTCTTCATTGACCCCTCCCTTTCCCTTTTCTCTTTAAAATCTGTCTTAATCGTCCAAAATCATGTTTTTGGATCGTTAAAAGCAGCTAAGCTACGAGCTAAGCTAACAGGCCGACCTCGGGAGTAAACCTCCGTCTTGTCGAGCTCCAAAATTCACAATTGAAATCCGTGCCTTTATATAGAGTTATTCTCTGCAAAAAGAAGCTGAGAACTTGTTTACTGATTTTTTTATTAAAAGCTTTGTGTGAAAAATGCTAAAGAGCTCAAACCACACCGAGTGTCCACCATTTTGGGATCTGAAACATTTTTGTGAACAGTCATTCCTCTGGGATCTGTCTCACTTTGACAGGCATCATATTCTGTTAACTGATGATGTGAACTCCGCTTGGAACTATTTTCACAATAGTTTCATTTATTTTGTGAACAAACATGTTCCTTTCCACCAGTTCAGAATAAAGGGATGAGACAGCCCCTGGTTTACTCCAGAGCTAGCTGACCTCCTGCACAGGAGAGATCATCTTTGGGCCGCAGCGAGAAAATCTGGCTCAGACACTGACTGGTTGAGTTTTCGACAGATGAGGAATAAATGCACAACTGCTGTCAAAGCAGCAAAACAACTATTTCTTATCTCAGACCTCCAAAAATCTAAATGACCCCAACAGATTCTGGAAAACCATCAAATCTCTCTCAGGCACCCCCCAATCATCTGACCTCCCATCACAACTTCTCGTTAACTCTGTTCCTGTGTCAAATAAGCACGAGATCCTGAACTGTCTCAACAAACATTTTGTTGCTTCTAGTTCTTTATTTGACACAGTTACTAACAGAAAATCAGCCACTTCCCCTAATAACCAAACCTCTACAAATCAAATCCCTCCTACAAGTCAATCCTCAGTTAATCACAGCTTCTCTTTTTCTCTGTTCTCAGTCAGTGAGGTCAATAAACTGTTAATAGATCTTGACCCTAAAAAATCTGCAGGTCCAGATGAACTTCCACCTTATTTCTTAAGGCTGGCTGCTCATATCATCACAGTCCCTGTGACCCACATCTTCAATCTCTCCATAAGACAAAACTCCATCCCAGACACTTGGAAAACAGCCTTTGTTCTTCCTTTGCTGAAGGGAGGTGACCCCACCTCACTGAACAACTATGGACCAATCTCTAAACTCTGCATTTTAGCCAAGGTTCTAGAAAAACTGATAAACTCTCAAATCAAAGATTACCTGGACTCATTTAACATCTTACCTCCACATCAATCTGGTTTCAGGAAACAACACAGCACAACCACTGCTTCACTGAAGGTTCTTAATGATGTTGTTGAAGCACTGGATGCTAAGGATTATTGTGCTGCACTTTTCTTAGACCTGTCTAAAGATTCTGACACTGTGGATCAGAACATCTTGTGTCATAAACTCTCAGAAATTGGTTTCTCAGAACACACCATTGGTTGGTTCTCTTAACTGTCTTTCAGACCGGAGGCAATGCGTTTAACATAATGGTACTTCCTCCAGTTATTTAACAGTCAACAATGGTGTACCACAAGGCTCAGTCTTAGGACCCACCCTCTTTACAATGTACATACATAATGTTGGTAAAAACATCCCTAATGCATCCATACATTTCTATGCTGATGACACAGTTGTTTATTGTCGAGCTAAAACTGTTGCTAAGGCTTTTCAGCTTTTGAATTCTGCATTCAACATCATCCAGACTGATTTGTTCCACCTCAAACTTGTCCTAAATGCCGACAAAACCAAAGGGATGCTTTTTTCAAATAGGAAGTTGGTCCCAGCAGTTCTTCCTCCGATTTTATCCTCAAATGGTGTCCCCATTGAGTTTGTTGATTCCTATAAATATTTGGGTATCTTGGTCGACTCACATCTCTCTTTTAAGCTCCATGTTGAAAACTTGGTAAAGAAACTGAAAGTTAAACTGGGTTTCTTTTTCAGAAACAGATCCTGTCTAACTCTGAATGTTAAGAAACACCTTGTATCTGTGACTTTCCTTCCCTCCATTGATTACGGTGACATTATTTACATGAACGCTCCTACAAGAACCCTGCAGATGTTGGATGCTGCAGATGTTGGATGCTGCAGATGTTGGATGCTGTCTATCACGGTGCACTAAGATTCATAACTGGCTGTGATTATCGTACCCACCACTGCACCCAGTATTCACTGGCTAACTGGACATCATTAACTTCACACAGACTCTCTCACTGGTACATTTTCATCTTTAAATCACTTCTTGGTCTGCTGCCTTCATACATCTCCTCCTACATGTCTCTGCGTGAGTGCAGCTACGGCATGCGCTCTCAGGACATTATTACCTGCAGTGTTCCCTCAACGAGGACTGAACTAGGCAAAAGGGCCTTCTCCTACTCGGCTCCCGTTTCCTGGAATACCTTACAAAAACAATTGACGCTCTCGACCTTTGACTTCTCTAAGTGTCTTTAAGAATCTCTTGGACTCCTGGCAGGGACCAATCCAGACATGTTCCTGTTTTTAGTTTTCTACATTCGCCTTAGAATCTAGCTGTTTTTTTTTTTTGTTACCTTTTTATTTTAGCCATCCTATTTGTTAAAAAAAAAAAAAAAAAAAAAAAAAAACTGTATTATGACTTTTTATAACTGTTTATTGTTGTCGCTGTTGTCCATTGTTGTCGTCATTCTTTGTTGAAATCAGGTCTCTCTTGTAAATGAGTCCTCAAGGCTCAATGGGATTTACCTGTATAAATAAAGGTTGACTTTTGAGAAACGAAAAACAGGAAGGAGAGACAGCCCATGTCACGTGAAGGGGCCTCCCTCCCATTTTTCTTAAAGAGACACGCTGCTTGCTCCCTCACTATCCATCCTACAGTTAAGTCTTATTCTGCCATCCAGTGGTCAAGAAAAGGTACTACACACAAAACAAATTAACCAACATCTCTTCTTAAATTTGAAAGTAATTACTAATTATTGTCAAATTTCCAACAATATTATTATTTATCACAATAATTTTTGAGACAATCGCCCAGCAACATTTGTTATCGTGACAGGCCTACCAGTTACATCCAACAATAAAATGTAAATGAAAAACAGTAATAAGATCAAAGATATGAACTAAGAACAACATAAACTAAAAATACACTAAGCACTAAGAGCATAAAAACATTACGTCAAACAGCAGCACAAACATGAACATGAATCTGTGTGAGCAGATGAGCACGCATGAACACATCAACATGAAACAGATCAGCAGCAACATGAAACAGATCAGCAGCAACATGATGTGATTTTTCACAGTGATTATTCTGGTTAGAGATTCATGAGTCTAACAGCCTTAGGGTAGAAGCTGTTCCTCAGTCTAGTGGTTCTACACTTAATGCTCCTCAACCTCCTTCCTGAGGGGAGTTGGGCAAAAAGTGTGTGTGCTGGGTGAGTGTGGTCCTTCAAGATGCAGGTGGCCCTCTTCCTGCATCTGGAGGTGTAGATGTCTGTGATGGTGGGGAGACTGACTCCAACATCTTCTGTGCAGCCTTCACCACTCTCTGCAAAGCTTTTCTTTCTGCAGCTGTGCAGCCTCCATGCCACACGTTGATGCTGGAGCACAGGATGCTCTCCACTGCACACCTGTAGAAGGAGGTGAGGACTGAGCTTCCCAGACCAGCTCGTCTCAGCCGTCTGAAGAAGTAGAGTCTCTGATGAGCTTTCTCGATCAGGCTGGTGGTGTTGTTGTGCCAGCTGAGGTTGTTGTTCAGGTGCACACCCAAGTACTTGTAGCTGGAGACCACTTCCACTGCAGATCCTTATATTTTCAGGGGCGTGTAGGTGTGTTTGTTTCTGCTGAATCCACAATCATCTCCTTTGTCTTCTTCACATTGATGTGAAGTTATTTTCTTTGCACCAGCTCTCCAGGTGTTCCACCTCCTGCCTGTAGCTGGACTCATCATTGTTTGTGATGCATCCCACCACCGCTGTATCATCTGCAAACTTTACAATGTGACAGCCTCAATGGGTAGCTGCACAATCATATGTGAGCAGAGTGAACAGGAGGGGGCTGAACACACATCCCTGAGGAGAGCCAGTGCTGAGGGTTATGGTGGAGGAGGAGAAGTTGTGGATCCTCACTAACTGTGGTCTGTTTGTTAAGAAGTCTAGGACCCAGTTGCAAATGGAGGGGCTTAGTCCTAGTGTGGATAGTTTGTCCATCAGGGTTTGGGGGATCATGGTGTTGAAGGCAGATGTGAAGTCCACAAAGAGCATACGGACGGAAGAGTCTTTCTGCTCCAGGTGGTTGAGTGCAGTGTGGACCACAGAGGAGATGGCATCCTGTTGATCGGTTCTCACGGTATGCATACTGATGAGAGTCCTCGTTGATGTTGATGGTTGTTTTGATGTGAGTCATGACCAGTTTTTCAAAGCATTTAGCGACTATCGGGGTGAGGGGCCACTGGCCGATAGTCATTCAGACCTGTCACTGTAGAGCTTTTTGGGACTGGGATGATGGTGGTGGTCTTCAGGCAGGTGGGTACTTTTGCCAGGGTAAGTGAGGTGATAAAGATGTCTGCCAGCACCTCGCAGAGCTGATCATTCTTTCAGCACTTTCCCGGGGATGTTGTCTGGGCCGGTTGCCTTGAGGATTAATTCTCCTGAAGGTACTCCTTACTTCTGCTGAGGTCATGGTGAGAAGCTCTTCATCCGGTGGTGAGGTGAGTCTGGTGCTGGGTGGTCTGTTCGGGTCTTCGAAGCGTGCTTAGAACTTGTTGAGGGCATCAGGCAGAGATGGGTCTTAGGGACATTGTTCGCTCATTCCTTTATAATCTGTTATACACTTAATGTCCCTCCACATGCTCTGAGGGTCTTGTGAGGTGAATTTACCCTCAATCCTCTGCATATGTAACCTTGGCCACATATGCACACATAGTTGGAGGGCCACTGCGGTGCGCGTGGGAATATGGCGCGTGAGCCCGGGTGGAGCTTTGTGCCTCTTAAATATGTTTTTAGGCAGAATATTCAAACAGAAACTGGAGCATTCCATTTTGTCCATTTATTTTGACTTTGTTCTTCAACAGCAAGAAGACTGTGAGAAGGCTTACTTCAAAATGGACAACGTGCTCATCGATGACCGAAGGATTCATGTTGACTTCAGCCAGTCAGTTGCAAAGATCAAGTGGAAAGGAAAAGGTACTTATGCAGAGGTTTCGTGTCCAACTACCGGCCTGTCTCCAAACTCCCATTTGTTTCTAAAGTACTGGAGAAAATAGTCGAGTCCCAGTTGAAGTGCTTCCTGGAGGATCACGCCATCTTTGAGCTATTCCAATCTGGCTTTAAACCTCTCCACAGCACTGAAACTGCCCTGCTGAAGGTCTTTAACGACATCTTCAGATTCACAGATACCAGGGATTCTGTGCTGCTTGTCTCATGCAACTTAGTTTGCTGTGGTGCCCCCTGTCTTGTCTATTGGACCTCACAGCCGCCTTTGGCACCATTGACCATGAGATCCTCATTGTTAGGTTGGAGCAGTGGGTGGGCATCACAGGATCAGCCCTCAATTGGTTCAGATCTTACCTCACTGACAGATCCTTTTGTGTCTCCATCAAGGATTTTAGTTCTGCAGCGGCAGAACTTAAATGGGGGGTTCCGCAGGGGTCCATCCTGGGTCCCCTCCTATTCTCTTTATACCTGCTGCCACTTGGTGCTTTTTTCCGGAAACACAACATACCCTTTCATTTCTACGCTGATGACTGTCAAATTTACTTCCCCCTAAGACACAATGGTACATGCTCTATTCAACCTCTGCTCGACTGCCTGGCTGACATCAGGGACTGGATGGCTTTAAACTTCTTAAGTTTCAATGAAAAGAAGTCTGAAGTCATGTTGTTCCCTCCCAACGACACGATCACAAACCACTGCATCGACCTCTCCGCTCTAACCCTGTCAGAAAAACAAAGAGTCACTAATCTGGGAGTGATAATGGACCCTTCTCTGAAACTTAACAATCATGTAAACATGATTGTTAAATCATGCTTCTTCCAACTGAGGCGGCTGTCTAAACTGAAGCCCATATTGTCCAAAAATAACCTGGAGACAGTAATACATCCATTCATTACATCTAGGCTTGATTACTGCAATTCACTCCTGTTTGGTATCAGTCAGAACTCCATTGCACGACTACAACTGGTCCAGAATGCAGCAGCCCCATTTTTAACCAGTACAGGCAAAAGAGAGCACATTACTCCAGGTTTGGCCTCACTGCATTGGTTACCAGATCACCTTTGAATCCAGTTCAAAATACTCCTGTATGTCTACAAATCAGTGAACAGTGTCCCCCCCCCCCATCTCTCTGATCTGCTACAACCGTATGTCCCACCACGCTCCCTGAGGTCAGTGGACCAGTTGCTCCTCACAGTTCCAGGAACTCGTCTTAAGTGCAGAGGTGACAGGGCCTTCTCTGTAGCAGGACCAAGACTTTGGATCGAGTTACCTCTGCTTGTCAGACAGGCCCCCTCCCTCTCGGTTTTCAAGTCCCGTTTAAAAACTCACTACTATTCAGTAGCTTTCAACACCAGATGATCTGTGTTTGATCCTGTATGCTCCACACTGGTTTGTCGTCATTATCTGCATCGTTTTTATGTCTATTTTCTGATTTACCTCATTTTGTATTTTGCTTTGTGTGTTACCTGTTGTTCTGTCTGTACAGCACTTTGGTTGGCCTTGTTGCTGTTTTAAGTGCTCTATAAATAAAGTGGTATGGTATAGGTTTTTATATTTTTTTAGTGTTTTTCTTTATTTTTATGAAGGAGTTTCTTTTTACCCCAGGTGGGAAGTACACAAAAGATGACTTCAAAGCCTACGAGAACGACTTGGAGAACCGATCCAAACTGGCTCTTAAGGATCAACTGAAGCCTAAACAAGAGTATCCTTAACTGAAAATGGGTTTAAGATGGATTCATTTCCACTTTGTTCATCTCGTTATATTTGTGTGAACTCTGAGTCAACATTCTGTTGGGTTCCTCATATAATGAAAGGAAAACTTCTCAAACGGTTGAAAATGTTTTGAAATTTTTCAGCACTCACTGTTCAGACTGCAGTTGTGGAAGTCCCTGACAGTAAGGAGAAAATCAGCCATCCTATTCAACGGCGTAAAAATATGGTGTTTATATTTTCTTTCCACAATGAACTAGTCAGTCTTTTAGAGCTCTCTCAGCCTGCAGTAAAAATACTAAATTTAAAAGACCTTAAAAAAAAAATTGTAACTTAAGGTTAAGGTCTTTTGTTTAAAATCTTGTCATTACATATTTTTAATCGACAAAATGTTTATTTTATGGTAATTTTTGGAAAAAAAAGGGGCATTTAATTATTATTTTTTAATATAATAATAATAGGATCAGTGTGGGAGTGGTGACACAGGTTAGTGAGGTGCTGGTTCAACTCCCCGGACCAACATCATCAAAATGTGAGTGGGAAAGGTGAAACACCCACACCTGCCTCCACCCTCATTTGCCCCACTCTGGGCCCCCTCATCATCTTCTCCCCTGGGTGTCCTGGATGCAGCTCCCTGCTCCACACAGAGGGCTGTGGTAGCTCGGTGGTCCGTGGTTGCATCAGGAAGGACATCCAGCGTAAAAACAAACACCTAGTCTTCATGCGACTTAGTTTGCTGTGGTGCCCCTGAAGAAGAGAGCAGCCGAAAGAACAATAAAAAAATTATAATAATGGGATCAAAAACCCTGTTTGATTCCCCCACCCCCTACCCCTGGAACAAGAGCGAGTTGCTGTAAGTTATGGGGGTGTTAGAAAAAGTTCAGACAAAAAGAATTAGAAGAACTTTTCGTCTTGGTCAAAAAAAGTCACGTTTGTTGACTGAAACAAAGTAACAAAACACGGACGAAAATGAAAGTGTGTCAGGTTTTTCTCTGATTGGTCTTCCACGGGTTCAATGATGCACACGAGAGTTCAACACCGTTCTCTTCAGACTTTTTGTTTTTTATATGGAGTTTTCCATAACTTTCCCAAAAGTTCCAAGTATGACTTGCTAATTGAAGATGAAATGAAAACAAGCCACGGGCACTCTGAGAAGAAGCCCCACCATTCAGATGAGGAGGACAGAAGGAAGTCCAAAAAGCACAAGGTAAATTCATTCAGACACTTTTCTTTTTTTATTTCCATCGACTCTGAATGCACAACGCTCATGGTTGATGTTTAGTTCTCGGGTTTTTATTTGTAAGTTCCTGCTGCAACTTTGTGAGAAGCAGGTTGTTTGTTGCGATGCTGTCAGTCAGGCGCAGCATTGGAAGCAGAGTACAGTTCATCTGGATGGTTAGTGACAGGTTCTCATAGCTTACCTAGTGATCAGGTCTCCACGTGCTCAGACTCAGAGTTCATGTTAACTGTGAAAACTGTTGCTTTAACTTGAAGTGGAGTCAAATGTTTGTTTTTTCTGGACTTTCATGTTATCATTTAAAGTATATATTTTTTAATTGTTGTGAAGACTTCATCATTTTGGAATATCTGTCATCCACGTGACCTTGTTGATCACATGTTGAGTCAGTTTGTCATCACACAGGTTTCCTCTGCAATCATGAAAAGTACAGCAGTTGTTTCCTGTATTTCGAAAAAGATGCTAATAAGAAAACATTTGTATTTCTTTTTTCAGACTCTGTTTCAGTTTGGTTTACCGTAATTTCTGGACTATAGAGCGCACCTGAATATAAGCCGCGCACACTAAATAAATAAAATCGTGCATATAAAGGCTGCACTTGTGTGCCAGTATAAGCTGCAGGTGTCCATGTTGTAACATGAGATATTTACACAAAGATTTTTTAAACTTTTAATTAAATACGTATCGGTAATATACATGTACAGTAAATGTTTTTTTAACAGTGCCTGTAACACGGCTGGTTAAAAATAAAATGCAGTAACCTACCAGGAAGTCATTGATGTGATCATTGTCTTCTACAAGCTTGTGTCCACAGAACAAAAGTTGTTCTGCACATGCAGGGGATTCCCCCCTCCCTGTTGCATTGGTTCGACTGGGACCTGTTCGGTAATTTCATTGGTCAGATATTTTTTTACTTTTATTTATAGGCTACAGGTAATCGATTTTTCAAATAATCTAGATTCTTAGTCCTGGCGATTCTGAATTGTTTCTAAAGTTCCAAAAATCGATTTTAAAATGCATTTAAGTTTTATATTTTTTCCGCTCACCACTTTTTTCTCTCTCTGTTCTCCAGTGAAGTCAGACCTGTTTTCCCGGCTCTAAACAAACGCCAAACAGTACGCTAAAAGAGCTAAGATATACGCTAAACACTAATAATTAAAACAATATGGCATAACAACAGCAGCACAAACATGAGTCTGTGGTGAGCAGATGGATATGAATGAATACAGCAGCATGAAATGATCAGCAGCATGGATAAGTAGTGCTGGGCCATATCATATCGTTCACCATAATACTGATTAAAAAAAGCTTGCCCGGGAAAATAAATATCACAGAGTCATGTGATCAGAGACAGTCATGTGATCAGAGACAGAGTCGTGTGATCAGAGACAGAGTCATG